TTTGTCAATTTTTAAAAAAATGAAAACAAGTAAATCCATGACTGAAAGAAATTAAAACATTAACAACAATGTGAATGACTTACCATTCATATTGAAAGGTTAGTTTTTGGAAGCATATTGCTAGTAATACTTGTCCTGTGAATTAATTATTTAGTCTCTAGTGTAGCAGCATTGGCATCCTCACATACAGCTATTAGAACTGGAAGACAAACAAATCCAGGGAGCTTGCTTTCATCCAGGCAGTTTTCAGATAGTAAAGCTATCCAATAAAAATGCCAGTGGTGAATAGATCAATATTCAAATAGTGATGTTCATTAACTACTTGTTCCTGAGCCAGCATTACCTATAATCATCGACAGCATCGCAAAATGGCAGAGAGAGAAAAGAAAACGCCAGGATGTTTTAAGATGTTCCCAATTATATCAAGCACTGCTTGTTTCCATAGCAACCTTAGAGAAGAATTATCGGTCTGCTTGTACCCAACCACTAGTTTTTCCTAATGCTTTAATCTATTCACATGAAAAACATCACTATGTATTTCATACAAATGATTCTTCAGGACTTCATTTCTCCAGAGGCACACAACTCAGAATTTTCTACTGGAAGCTCTACAGTATCGTATCAAATGCTCAGAAAACACAACTTTTTCCATTATAACATTTACTGCCATGCTTACAAATAAAAGCTCAACCAAGCAAACTACTTGGTATCACTCACTCTACCCATACCTACCTGGCTACAGTAGTGCCATATTACTGACACAGGTCATTTTCAGAGAGTCAGGCAAGTAGCTCCAACATAAAAGCATGGTTTAAATGTATAGCCTGAATTATAACAGTTTGCTGTTTTCTTGAATAATCCTAACCTTATTTTCATGTTACAGTTAAAGAACTACAACAGAGAATTATTTCTCTAAGGATACCCATCAGGAAATGAGTTGATCTAAATCTAAACCTTTCTGTTAAGATAAACCCCTGACCTGGTGCAGACATAATATTAAGCCACTGATGTTACTTTTACCCTGATTAGGACAGTGTAAGTTTACCAAATGTATGGGCAGACACTAAAACACATACCTTAGTCACAACAGACCCATGGTATTCAGCACAATTAACCATGAATAAGAAAACAAACTATGGCTAAATCTGCCAGCCACAATAGGGTTTCCACATATTAGAATGCAATGCTTCTGTGATAAAGAGGACCATATATTGAACAGGAGTTTAATAAGTATTTTATTACAGTTCTGTTAACAAAGGTAAGCCATGTGAAGAACCTAATTCTCAAAAACTGTAAAACATAAATAATATTCTTTTATATCATTATAGCATCACAGAGGTATGCTTCTAAATTGTAGGCAGGAGTCTATGCAAACTGATTTTTAAAAATCTACATTGCTCTCATATCACACATTAAAATTAGAATTAATAGAGATAATATCACATCTCAAAAGCTGAATGTTAAGCCTGTCATAGAATAAGTAAAATGCAGTGTGAGGAAGTCAGTGCTGGGCAAAGAAACAGAATGATCTCCAGCCCTTCAGTTCACATTACTAGACCACAACTACTGACAACTCACAGATATGCAACTTCCTCTTTAAGAAGACATTTCACAAATAGGATATGTCAAAAAAAGGCATATACAACTTTACAATATATTTTTCATCATATGAGCTTACCTACTTTCAAATTGTTAGTCTCAATATTGTCTACAAGATTTGCCTTTTGAGGAGCACTTGGATATCTAAGGGGATTTTGAAGTATTTTAATACAATACTGCAAATCCTAACCATGTTTGGTACTCTTAATGTATTTATATTTTATGTTACCCACAAGATGAGAACCTCAGCAAACTTTCTAGGAAGAAAATCTCATTAGTCAATAAGAAGGTTCCTGGTAATAACATACAGTGCCTCAGCTAGCCAACCCTATGTGGCTTTGAAACTTATTAGAATATGTAAAATAAAAAAGAATACAGTATCAATAATAACTAAAACACTAGAAGGGGCCTCAATCATGGTACCTGCATTCAGTCTGGACCTGAAAACAATTATTACTGATCTCCAGTCTGCTAAGACAAGATAGCTAAGACAATTATTCCGAAATGGGCCATACAAAGCCATCTGCATAAAATTACTACCTGCACATAAAACCTGATCTTTTTAAGACACTGCATCATGTAACAAACTATGGGCACATCCAACACTGCTGCTCCATTTATGCCCTTGATATAAGGTGTAAAGGGCCTTTAGCACAATGGCAATAGTATTAGCTGGTGTAATAAAATTACATGGAAAACTCCCTGCACCAGTAAATACTATTGGCATTGTACCAGAGGTTGCCTACACTGGAGCACTGGATGGTGCCCTATGCATTTTATTTAATATTACAAGCAATCTGTCCACTTTTAAAACTGAAATTGTATTGAGTCAGAACACTCAAAATACATAGCTTCATATAGTAAAGTCTGGAATCAGTGGGTGTAGAATAAAATATCTAACAATTCTTCAGGTAACTGATACCTAGTTCTCAGAAGTGGAAAACATGAAATTATGTTGTTCTCAGCTGCTTAAGTACAGTGATGTGGACAATTTTAGTTTCTTCTGTTTTTGGAAAATAAATTATCATTCAATATGATTTTGAAGATAAGCATGTATCACATCAGTAACAATTCAGAAATTTATCTACATTAATCTTCTCAGTTGAACATTTTAAACCTGAACTACAGTTGGGGTTTCCTAGTATACATTAAAACTGTTCTTATAAAAACAGGTATGTTTATTACTTTCTGTTTATACTTGAACAGAACTATACACATTATTTGCTTATTGTGATCACAAAAGGGCTTCATAACAATCCATGTGCACAATTATTAATAATAAATTTCAAAAGAAACTATTCACTATACTTCACATATGATACTTTGTCAAACAAATTAGGCAAATATGCATAGATTAAAAGAGAGGAGATCTGTGATAAACTTGACAGAGACTGAGAATATCAAACTCTATTTTAACACAGAAATTTATTCACACTATACTAAAAAGCCATTTTCTTGATCATATTCCTAATACCTGACAGGTAAGAAAAAACCACCACCACCTTCTGTTGTCTCTTTCACTGCATTTTTGCATGTTTGTACTCCTACCATGAACTCTTAAAGACAGCAAACCTGAATAAATCTAATTACACTGAGTCTGCTGAAATACCAAGCAGAAGTAAAAGAGTTGGAAGCACCCAGGGCACTAAAAGCTAAGTACAAATGGAAATCCAGTGTTCTCCCTTGTGATTTTCAAAATAGATTTTCAGCTTAGATTTTGGAAAATTTACAATTTTTTTCCTTCTCATTTTACTGGTTTACTGAGAGTTGGCTTGGAAAATCATGTGCATTCTATTTGCTACATTACTTTTAACACTCCCCCAGCTGCCAGTGAAAGCATTACTGTGGCTGTACTTTTTTGCTGCCACCAGCTTAGGTAAAGGAAAAAGAAAGTGGGATGGTCAGTGTGGAGGGAGGAGAAGCCAAGATCTTTAGGATTCTCAAGTCTTTCCACTGTGCCAAGAGGACAATTAAATAGACGCGCACACACATGGAGGGAGGGAAAGCATTTTCATTTCTACCCTCTTCCTACCCTGCCTGGCTCCTGCTGGCAAGATAGACAGAAATTTTGGCTCTGAAGGTACTCTGTCTACTGATTAGCAATTCTGTAAGGATGTGTTCTTAGGTTCAAATCTTTTCAGCTAAGGAGCTAATTGCCAAAATTTAACTCTCAAAAAACTCTTAATCACATGGTTATTGTGAGACTAAAATGTCACTCTGTTTTCCATTGTAGAAGGATGACTTACAAATACAGTAAGACCCTCATATCTGCTCTTTCAGTTACTGTGGTTTCACTAAACCGCGGTTGACTGCAGTCAAAAAATTAAACAGAAAATTCCAGAAATACAGTAAAAATTCATAAATTGTGGGCCATTTTGAGTAATGTGATGAAATCTTGTGCTGTCCAGCCTGGGATGTTAATCACCCCTTTGTCTGGAGTATCCATGTTGTGTATGCTATGCAGCCGTTAGTCATTTAGCAGCTGCCTCAGTTATCAGATCAGCTCTCACAGTATCACAATGCTTGTGTTCAAGTAACCCTAATTTTGCTTAATCATGCATGTACAATATATAGTGTTCACTACTATCTGGACTTTCAGACATCTGCTGGGGGGCTTGGAACCTATGCCCCATGGATACTTTGCTATTATATAGCAAAATACGTTTAAAATAGTATAATTTAATAAATATTTGGTGTGTTCAACATTTTTTTGAAAATGAATACTCTTGTATTTGCAATGCTGCTTTTTATGAACTGGTGGCATCAATTTTGAAATGCCAGCAAAAATTAAAAACAAGGTCATATATAGTTTGTTACTTTATGAACTCAATCTAATGATTTAATGAATGCAACATAAGCGTATGCAAAAAAAAAAAAAACTTCATGTACAATGGAAAAGACTATCCACATCAGATACAACAAGAGGTACTGCACAAGTGTACATACTGGTCATCCTTTCTTGCACATCACACCACTCTTAATGTGCATGGAGCCCACACTGCAACAGGCTCTGCACGCATAGGCCTGCTTCAATATAGGGCCAACGCTGCTTGATCATAGTTAACGTCTATCACATTGTAAGTCTCTTACAAAGTTTAAGTGTAAGAACAAACAATAATGTATTTAAATCCACCATTACAGCTTCAAGAAACCAATTTTAAATAATGGAGAATCATAGATCAAAAATAAACAGAAATGCATGCAAGTTAATAAACTAACACAAGACAGCTAACAGCTGGTAGTATGTACTCTTTAAGTGGTTTACAAACAAAACTACATACAGCCTTGGATCAACCTGCTAATTATTTAACTCATCAATTTAGCTGTCAATATTTTTCTATATTTATTGTACAATAATCTATATCTTGCAATTGCAAACCAAGTAACTTCTACATACTTACTTGATCTGTCCCACAGTGCAACAAATTCAGATAAACAAGGAGATTCATTTTCCAGAGCTACTTTCAGTTCATTTGCAGAACCCTTGGAATGCCTGTGAAAAAGTCTATTGGCAAACCCTTCTAGTCTCTGCAAAGCATTAGCAGTGCCTGAGCTTGAGCTACCCTGCAGCTCTTTCTGAGCTGCCATTGATCTACATTTAAGGTGCACGTTAAACACAAGAAAACAATTCTGAACTTAAGAGCATAACACAGAAGTCAAGTGCTAGGCATGTGTCAGACTTCCTGTATGCAGTTTGCTCAAGCCACAACTGCTGTTCTGCTTCCTGTTAATATAAAACCAAACTTCAAGAGCTATTCTCAGCAAAATCCTCTTGATATCAGCTCAGTGTGGGGACTAGAAAAAAAATAAAACTGCCCTGTTTGCATATTAATTCTTCCTATCTTCCAAAATAAACTGCATTGCAATGAGAATAGGCACAAGCTTGTTCAAGGCAAAAGGGGAACTAGCAGCTAGGTCATGCAAACAATCATGCATGTATGTGTTCACATTTATTCCACATTTAAGAGTCAGAAGTTAGGTATTAATTATTATACATTATTACTTTAATAACAATGGACAGCTTTTCAAAAGTGTATTTACATATTGCAAGACATGTTCACACAGTGAGCAGTCAAGACACACAGGCCTTTGCAGGAGTTCTTCTCAAATGAAATTCATACTCCTTCTACTAAGATATGGAGGTAACTGAAGGTCAGTACTCTGACTCATTGGTTACATTTATCCTTTGCTATTACAAGAAAATTAAACAGAGAGATCCTAGTACAATGTAGGCTTTGTATATGGAGTGTGTGTGTGTGTGTGTGTGTGTGTGTGTGTGTGAAATGTACAGAAACTACTTTGTAGAAGTTTAGTTAACTTTTGCTTCACAAATTGAAGTAAAATGTTTCCTAAGCCACAAGTATTCAATGTTATTTATTTTAATTGGTACATTTATTTTTCTAGACCCTTGGCATCAGTATAAAGGTATTGAAAATGTTCGGATAATGAGTATTTTATGAGATAGTAAGAGCAATCAAGAACAGAGTAGCAACCCACACATTTAACAGACAATTTATTGATTTGCTTAATTAATTATTGATTTTAAGCTGCTGTGGCATATAAATAAACTAAGTACATTTAAAGTTTAAAATTCCCTCCCATGTCTTTCTCATATACAACTGCACCATTGAGGATGGGAGTGGAGGGAAAAAGCAGGTTGCTTACCTGTAACTTATGTTCTTCGAGTGGCCATCTGTGCAGTCATACATATGGGTGCTGCGCCTGCGCAGTGCCTTTGGCCGGAAGATTGCAAGCTAACAGTTTTTGGTGGGAAAGCTCCGCTCCCCCTCCCCTATGGCCTATAAAGAGCAGAGCGTCCGCCATTTTGTTCAGTCTTTGATGACCGAACGTGCGCCCCAACGTGTGATGGACTCCCAAATGGGGAGTCGGCTTCAAAACCGAGCCCCAGATGAGAGGGGGGTGGGTATTGGTGGAGCGTGAGGAATGGTTCGCCAGTCCCGTCAACGTTGCCTCCGATCGTTGAAACGACGGTGGCCTTGTTGGAAGCGTTGTTGGGGCTGAGGACGGCGGTGCTGCTGTTGCTGGCGGTGTTGTGGCTGCTGCCTCGGTTGATATGATTGCCTGTAGAATGGACGATTCCAGGACCACTTACGTCTGGCGTGGGACTGTATCTCCATCCTGCGTGCCATCATCCTTGATTCATGCAGCTTCTTGAGCTTGTGGTCGGTGCGAGAATGGAAAAGCCCTGTTCCATCAAAAGGCATTCCCTCGATCCGGCACTTGGTTTCTTCTGGAAAATTACAGTTCCGAAGCCATGCATGCCTTTGGAGAGAAATGGCACCGACCAAGGCCCATGAGTCAGTATCCACGTGGTGCCTCACCGTGGATAACTGCTGCACCGCGGCCTGCATGGCTTCCTTAATCAGGACCTTCGCGAGGTCACCTTGGTGGTCCGGGAGGGTGGAGGCGACATTGTGCAGGCGCTGCATAATAAAGTATTGATACCTCGCCAACGTTGCCTCGTAATTTGATATACGGAGCCCCAGGCCTGAAGCAGCGTAGACTTGCCTAGCCAGGGAGTCTATTTTTCGGCCATCTTTATCTCTCGGTGCCGTGTGCCCTCTCGCCTCTCTGCCCTGCAAGGATTCGACGACCACAGAGTTCAGTTTGGGATGTCGGAGGAGGAAGGGGATGTCCTCCTCCTGAACCCTGTACATCGACTCATATCTCCTGGATGTCGGCTGAGGATGTGATGGCAAGTCCCAGGGCTGCGTCATTGCCTGCCACAAGGTGGTTATGAGCGGCAGGACAATGGATGTCGATTGCTCCCCGCGGACGACATCGTAGAACTTGTCCGTCGTTGGTCCCGGGCGCTGGGCAGCATCGATGTCCAGGGACTGGACAAGTCTAGACATCAGCTCCGCGAAGGAGATGTGGGACTCATCAGGCAACGCAGGACCCTGGGATGTCACAGCGACATCCGGAGAGGTTGAGATGACCTCCGAGTTGGCTGAATCGGCACCGTAGTAGGGTGGGGCCGAAGATGATGACTCCGCCGGAGAGAAGGAGCAGCTGCTTCCACCCTGTGGGGATCGAGGTGACACCCACCTCGGATCCAATGAGCGCGGTTGGTCACGGGATGGAGGAGAGGATTGTGCCCTGGGAGCAGGGTAGTACCCTACGGAGAGCAGATCACCCCAAGTATGGTAGTAGGGGCGACGCCAGCTCTCCGGACGTTGCTCTACAGAGAGGCTCCTCCAGCTCCCCAGTGGGGACAGTCCAACGTCCACTTCCATCGTGACCGCGGGCATGGGTGTCGGTGACCTCGCCCTAGGAGGGGAGTCCTGGATTTCCCCATCAGATATTGAACCCCGTAGAGTTGGAAGGGGTGCAGGCGGGAGGTCAGCCACACGGCAGGGAGACCCTTGAGGGGTAACCCGCATAGCCTCCTGGAGGACCGGTTCGGGCGGAGTCGGTACCGTAAGCACTACCGGTACCGAGGGGCCCATCGGATCTGAGTCCCGATGTCGGGGACGGTCCGGACGGTCCGAATTCCTGGTTTTCTTGGGAGGCTTGGGGACCTTCTCCTTCCTGGCCTTTTTATGGCCTGCCAACTTCTCGGATTCGGCATGCTTCCTCTTTCCATGCTTCTTTTTAGTTGAAGCAGAGGGAGCCACCGAAGCAGACGCACCTTCATCCGAACGCCGTGAGGGTGGGGCCACAGAAGCGGAGCCAGATTTTGGGACGGCAACAAGCGGGTCTGATTGCATCAGAGCCCGATCCCAAAGGAGTCTCCAGAGGCGGTTTTCGTAGTTCTTCCTGGCCTGCTTGGAGAAGGCCAGGCAATGCGCGCATTTATCCATCCTATGCCCTCTCCCAGGCAGAGGAGGCATAGGTCATGCGGGTCAGTTGGTGCCATTTTTGGCCCACAGTCTGCACATTTGCGGAAAACCGCTCGCTGCGCCATTGCAGAAGAAGAGAGGGATAGTGCAGAGGGTAAGTATATGTTTTTGTTTTTGTTTAGATAGATAGGTCGAAAGTAGAAATAACAAGAGAAAAACTATGAGGAACAATGAACTGAGAGCAAGGTTTTTTTTTTTAGAAGAAAAAACTGGGAAAGAAGGACAATCGAGAGCAAGGTAACAGCTCTAAGCGAAAGTCGAAAGCGGCATGAGGCACAGTGAACGGCGGTCGCAAAGACTGAACAAAATGGCGGATGCTCCGCTCTTTATAGGCCATGGGGGAGGGGGAGTGGAGCTTTCCCGCCAAAAACTGTTAGCTTGCAATCTTCCGGCCAAAAGCACTGCGCAGGCGCAGCACCCATATGGGTGATGCACAGAGGCCACGACGAAGAAGACATAAAATGCATCAGGTATGTAGATATGAACCCACCCAAAACATGTAGCAGGACACACTCTAGATCTATTCAACTGGGGACGGGTACAGTGATTGAAGGTAAGAGACTTTCAATTAGTTCCTTTTTCATCAACACCTGTTGATGCTTAGACTGATGGTGCTTTTCCCAAGAGTGGGAATTCTATTGAGATTCTCTCCCCTCAAAGGTTAATGAATCCAGATGAGAGCTCTGGAAATTTTCCAGCTGATATGGCAGGTGCTCCTGCTGAAACCCTGTTTGAGCTGTGGAATGAGAAAAAAAAAAAGGACTCAGATTGTTTATGATTTCTCCTGAACACTCTCTCTGTTGTAGAGCCTGTACAGCCCCATGGTGTAGCCTGGAGCTGAGAGAAAAGAAAATAGAGCTCGACTGCAGATGGAGAATAAGTCCAAGTAGCTGCAATCAAACTCTGGTTTGTGCTTATCATTAATTATATTTTGAAGCAGTGAGTGTGGCAAAGGAAGAACATCTGAGATTATTAAATCTTTTATTCACCACCTGGTGAATCTTGTTAAGGTTATCTAATAGTCTGTTACATGCTGATCCTAAGGACACTGTACTCCTAAGGCCCATTGTAACATACACTGTATGCTAGGCACTTCCAAGATAAAATCACTTGCATCTGCTGGGATTTAGACTCCAGTGCTACAAGCAGTTAAATCTGACAGAATACCCAGAACACAACCTGGTCCAGTTTTATTGGATAAATTTCAGTTGGTACAGCTTGAGAATGTTGACAAGGTGCTTGGAAAATTCCTTGAAGATACTTGTCCTAACTGGATCCTTTTATCTCCTTGCTTATAAAAATTAGGAGGAAGAGGGGAAGAACAGCCTGCTGGTCCCGGGAGGTGATGTGCCTCCCTGTGAGAGTGGACCATGCCATCTGAAAGAGGTTCACTAAGACCACTCCTGAAGAAATTCTCTTTGGGCCTGGCAGAACTTAACCATTATAGGCTAGTAGCAAATGTTTCTTTCCTTGGCAAGGTCTTGAGTGGGTGGTGGGTGACCAGCTTCAGGCACTGTTGATCATCTGCATCCATTTCAGCTGGTGCTCAGGCCAGGTTTTAGATTTGGTTGCCACATAGGCTGATGTATGTTGGGAAAGAGACTGGCCAAGTATGATCCAGTTAATACTTCTGGGTCTCTTAGCAGCTTTTGATATAATTGACTAAGCTAACCTGAGTGAAATGTCTGAACTGCAAGTGGAGGGTACTGCTTTGCAGTGGTTCTCGCCCAGCATGGTGAATGGTTCCAGGTAGTAGCATTAGGGAATTGCTCAGCACCATGGTGTCTCCAGTCTTGGGTTCTCCAGGGTTCTATCTTATTTGCTAACTAGAAGCTTTTCATGTTTTGGAGTGCACTGCCATCCCTATGCTAATGAAATGCAGCGCTTATTTCTCCTTTTCATCTCCAACCAGTAAGGCTGTGGATCTGGTAAAAACAGGGCCTGGCTGTGACAATGGTCTGGATAAGGTTTAAAGAACTGCATTTCAATCTAGACAGAACTGAGATGCTGTTAGTGAACAATATGTTTAACTTGTTCTAGATAGGGCTACAGTCCTCCTGAAAGAGCAGGTGTGTTTCTTGGGTGTTCTTCTTGACCAGTATTTATCACTCAGTGGCATTGAGTACCTTTTACCAGACTGGCTGTTAGTCCATATCTAGGCAGTGATAGCCTGTTTTCAGTAAAACTATGCTCTGGTA